ACACCTGAGATTCGTTACCCACTATTATATATGACCCCTCGAGGCTCCATGCTCGAGGCAAAGAGCAACTGAAACGAAACAGCTCAAGAAAAAAGAACCGGCACCACGTTCTGAGTTCACACCGCAAGCCTCCGGAGGGAGTCGAACCCTCCTCTCCTCCATATACTCTGTTTGGCAAAGATCTTTGATGAAAGGGAGGCGACTTCCGTAGTCCACAGAGGCGTTCACGGCTCTGCGCTTCAGCGGATCTGGGTCGGCATCAAGCGGCATCCCAGGTTTAATTTACTAGTGGCACCCTTTCGTCGAAAACGCCGGAGATTATGTTCAAAAATAATGACCTAGTCACCTAAGGAGCCTCCACTTTGGTCACGTGTCGGACCTCTTAGGTACCTTTCTCTGTAGGAGCTAAAGGTACCTAAGAGGTACCCCTCCATGGAGCCCGCAAAAATGTTTATTTTTGGTCTGCGTGTCACCCACCTTTCCCGCCCTCCCTAGCGCTAATAATATGTCACGGCATGCTGTTGTGCCGCTCTTTTCCATTTGTGGTGGCCGCCTATAGAGGCCAAAACACTGATTGCGACACAGAAAGCCCTTTTGACGACTGTTAAAAAGACTCTGTCCAATGCCATATAATAGAAGTTGAGGAAAATAGCCGTAGTACGCGTGACAAAAATATCCGAAATCCAACGGAGGCCACCGTGTGTCGCGCCGTTGACTCTCCAAAGGGCCTCTAGCTACGCCGCGGCCTACCTCAGGAGCATGAGATAGTTACCTGCCTCATTGGTTTGACAGATGTGGGCTCTGAAACAGATACAGCCAGTCCAGAATAACAGTGGAGGCCACCGACACAGAAAATGGATACAGGTTGACATCGTAATAAGTTGAACCGTGGGAGTTCCCTGTTCAATCCTCGGAAAGATCCAATTTTCGACCGGCAGGCCCAGGGATGAGCTTCAGGAATCTGGCTATAATTGAACGGAGGGCACCACTGGAACGCTGGATTGCTTTTTGACTAAAGGAGAAGCACCGGAACAGATGCGACCTTCCGTGGGCATGGCCTCGATTGAGAATTATTTTCAAACAGCTCGCGATTGCTTCCGGATGAAGCTGAGAGCAGTCCACCAGTAGAGATGAGCGTGCTGTTTCAGCAGCGCGCACCACTGGAACAGAGGAACAATACCAAGATTATGTGTAAATGTTAAAGAGTATGTTGCAGTGCGGCACTCGTAGGAAACATATGATTGCAACGGGCCTACCTTGTGCTCGTCAGTAACCCTAGGAGATTTGCTTAAGCAATGGCCGTTGCAACACTAATCCCGGATTAAATCAGTGTTTGATTAATCATTGCCAAGGAACGTTGGGGGCCATGTTGGAATTGAGCACCTGATTAATCCCGCTGGTTTAAACGGTGATTAAACGGGATTAAACCGCGTTTCAACGCGATTCAGCTCACCGGCGCACTTGTTAAAAAGCAGCAGCATGGGGTTGAACCAGTGACCTCTCGAGTGTGACCCAGTCTTGGCATCGAAGAGGTTAAGTGGAGGGAGGGCCAAGCATTTGATGCCCTCCGCGCCATCCAGAACGTGGTGAAAGCTCTCACCGCTTTACGGGACCGTAAAATGAAAAACGACAGGCAACAAAAAGACAACACTAGGGCGGGGGACGAGATACGCGAAACCACCAAACGCCGTGATCGTCACATGCAAACTTACGAATCAGCTCGACAGGCAATGATCGCTCTTGGTGCCTTACAGGATGGCACCAACACAAACTTTCCGCCATTGAAAGAGGTGGACACATTCATGAAATCTGTGCGACAAGCGCGACAAGTCGGCGACTCAAATCTCACGGACGGACTCCTCTGGAGGATGTCAGGAGGAATAGATTCAAATTCATCGCACCAAGCTCCTACACCGTCAGCTGGTACTAGTACCACAACGACTGGTGTGTCTCCTTTAGATTCAGTGGAGCTGCTGACTTAGTCCGAGTCTGTGTAGCGCTTAGTGGTACTCGGATGGAGACGCGCAAATCAGGTCCGCTTTTTCTTCTCACCCTCGGTCTCAAAACTTATCGCAAGGGATGGATTATTCAGCTCCGAGACAGCGAAAGCCGGCAACTACTTCACAACAGGAAGACAAACGGGAGCAAAGACCCGAAGGCTGGTTGTGGCAGCTTGGGAAAATGGGGAAGCTTTCGCAGTCTGAAATGGATGAATGGTCGAATGAGGGTGAGAAACTATCCACGGTCCAGCACTCAGATGGGATAACTTGATTCTAGGTGATCGTGTCCAATGGTTTCGTGCTGAGGCCGAGATGCAGCGCTGGCAAGAGCAGAAGGAGCAGAAACTCGTCGAATTATTGCGAACGATCCGGAGTTTTGCCAAGATGCAAGAGGTCTGGACTCGGCTTGGGCATTCCCACTTAGCCAACCAGCCCGGCCACGCCGCCTACGCTCGGCAAAAGGCGTCAATGTATGAGCGCCGCGCGGAAGAGGCTCGGACGCTAGCCCGGCGTGGTGGACATGAAGAGCTGCTTCTGCCGACGGCAAATATAATTAGCTTCATAGAGGGACAGCGGGCAGAGGAGAGCGAGTACCTGTCCAAGCGGGTATCCAGCACTTTATCATAACGTAGATTGCGTAGATTAGTTAATTGTTAGCTGATGGCTGTTCAATTTGTTCTGTATGTGGGCCTGTCATATGCACCTATTTACCTCCCATCATTACCGCTCCCATTGCCCAGCGGTTTCACGTCTCTTAGCTTCCGGCCGTCGGAGGGTACCGAGATCGAGCCTTGCTCCCGCCTGTTTTTGTCCCCCAGATTAAGCCAAGTTTGATCCAGTTTAATCCAGATTAATCACTGTTTCAACAAGCCGATTAATCGGGAGTTCAACTGACACACGCGTCCCAACGCCCCTTGGCGGTGATTAATCAAGCACTGATTTAATCCAGGATTAGTGTTGCAACGGCCATTGTTTAAGCAAATCTCCTAGGGCTTCTTTGCTCGTCCTCCGTGCCTCCACTTCTCAGGCCTCCATTTTTATGCCTCCCCTCCCTCCATCTCGATGGCCTCCGCGCCGCCATCCCACCAAGTCTCGGTCATTCACGTAACGGCGATCAACCAATCGGATCGCGAATAAACGTTGGTGGAATCTGTTTATTTTCTGGTTCATCCGAACCTTAGCTTCAGCCCCAGGATAAAATGCCGACATTGGACTTCACCATTGCCCGGTGCCTCCTGATTTTATTTCCCAATTATTGGAAGCTTGTACCGATTGGTATTTGGTGCGTGAACAATTCGAACCAGAAGACACGCTCGGTTCCGTTACAAGTTCGACTTTAGCACCCACTTGCTTCGTACATCCGCTACGCACCGCTCGTGTCTTACCTTCTGATGATACAACAATGTCCTGCTATCTCCCAGACTGTTTTTCAGCCTCAGAAATCCTTGGTTGCATACGGACTTGACATTGACAACCTCTGAACGGTGGCCTCCATAATTAGGATTCAACCGACAAATCTCAATCCTGCTCAAGTTGTATCACTATCGTTGTGATAAGTGGACATTCCCTGTTTGAATCGGGGGTTCAAAAACCATTCTTGCTTTACTGCTGCCCTCAACTGACCAAACCGATGGCCTTCGAACATTTGACATGCCAAGCCGATGGTGAACAAAGGAACGAAAATATTCACACTTCAACCAACGGCACACTTTGCAACAATGGCTTTGATTTGCCGAACCAGCATCTGCTTATCCGCCATTCTGAACATCGACATGGTGGCCTCTCGTGCTGGCATTCCCGCCGTTCAGAACGACTGAGGGCCACCTCGAGCCTGTTATCTACTGGTTCGGTGAATACGCCATCGATTGCGGGAAGCGCCGCCATTGGAAATCGAATAGTGTACTGGTCGGTGACCACCGCGTCAATTTGGTTGGTTGATATCGATGCCGGGTGCATCTAATATGGTTTTGAACAAAAGAAATCTGACTCGGTATGTGTCTAGTTTGAAACCATCGCCCCCATTGGTTGTTATTTTATTGCGAGGCGAGGAGGCCTCCGCCCGGGCTGCATAGTGCACCAGACGTAGTGTGCACAGCTACAAGAGGTCTGGCGGTCACTAACGGGTGTTTCTCTCACCAGAAATGTTTCAGCAGCGGCTTACGGCTCCGGCGGGCTCAATGATGCGGCGTGCAACGGCGTGCGGTGGCCTCGGTTGACTTTCAAGACGAATTTTTAGCATGTTTCTTGAGCTGCTCGCATGATAGGGTTGCAAAGCATCTCGTTGTAGCATGTAGAAAATTTCAATGTATCCGCCCTGCAATAATGAGTGTTTGAACACCACACAGGAGGCCACCGCAAATCTGACAGAGCCGCTCCGCCGCGCGCCGTGATATATTGACGGTCAGCGCCATGGAGGCCGGAAAAGGTAGCGGAGGAATAACCCAAAAATAGCTGGCTGGGCGGCCTCCAACGGAGGGTACCTCTTAGGTACCTTTAGCTCCTACAGAGAAAGGTACCTAAGAGGTCCAACACGTGACCAAAGTGGAGGCTCCTTAGGTGGACCTAGTTCATACCCTTAGACAGGTCCTCATCCACACTCGCAAGGATCTTCACTTTCAAAAATGTCTAAGACAACTGAAGACTCGGGAAAAAATCTTAGCACCGGACAATGCAAGCCTCTGGAGGGAGTCGAACCCTCTGCTCCTCCCTACTTATACTTATACTTTGATCAGCAAAGACCTTCGATGGAAGGGAGGCGACTTCCGTAGTCCACAGAGGCGTTCACGGCTTTGTTAATTCAGCGGAGTTGTTTCATAGCTAAGTTGCATACGGGGTTGAACTTCTTGAATTCTGGACGCGCTCGAGCTGCTTGGTTGAATTCAACCGACACCAGATTCGTTACCCTTTATTATATATGACCCCCCCGAGGATCCATGCTCGAGCCAAAGATCTGCTGAAACAAAGCAGCTCAAGAAAAAAGAACCGGCACCGGACAACGCAAGCCTCCGGAGGGAGTCGAACCCTCGGCTCCTCCATAAACTCGTGTGTGGAAGCACTACATTATGATGAAAGGGAGGCGACTCCCATGGTCCACAGAGGCGCTAACAGCTCTGTTTCTTCAATCGAGTTATAGGTAACTCATGTACATAACAGGACAAATTTCCTGAATTCTGCACGCTCGAGCTGCTTGGTTGAATTCAACCGACACCGAAGATTCGTTACCCACTATTATAGCTCCTCGACGATCCATGCTCGAGCCAAAGATCAGCTGAAACGAAGCAGCTCAAGAAAAAAGAACCCGCACGGGATAATGCAAGCCTCGGAGGGAGTCGAACCCTCGTCTCCTCCATAAACTCGTGTGTGGAAAGACTGTATGATGAAAGGGAGACGACTTCCGTAGTCCACTGCACGGAGGCGGCAACGGCTCTGTTCTTTCAGCGGAGTCGTTTCATACCAATTAAAGTCGCATACCGAATTAAATTTCATGGTAGAGCTCGAGCCGCTTCGTTGAAAATACAGGGGACTGGATTCAAATTAATGACCCGGTTTATTGTAGGTACCCTGGTCAAATTCCTCTGGGATCCACCCATGCTTGCAAGCGTCTAACCCTCCAAGCTTCAAGGGCACAGATTTCTACAAAACAAGATGCAACGCAACATAAGGCCTCTGGAGGGAGTCGAACTTGAACCCTCGGCTCCTCCCTATACTCTTTCAACAGACATCTTTGATGAGAGGGAGGCGACTTCCGTAGTCCACAGAGGCGTTCAGGGCTCTGTTTCCCCAATGCTTGGGTCTCAGGTGAGTGAAAAGACGTGTCGAATTTTCCGCGAAGCCGGTTGGTTGTTGATAGAATTCAAACACAATAACCTGGTTCGAACTTCATACCCTTGGACAGGTCCTCATCCACGCTCGCAAGCATCCTCAAATTCAAGAATGACTATATAAGACAGCTGAAGACTCGCGAAAAAATCATAGCACTACTCAACGCAAGCCTCGGAGGGAATCGAACCCTCCTCTCCCCCCTATACTCTTTCAACAGAGATCTTGGATGAGAGGGAGGCGACTTCCGTAGTCCACAGAGGCGGTAACAGCTCTGTTTCTTCAACTAGGTCGAGTTATAGGTAACTCACATAACAGGTTAAACTTCTTGAATTCTAGACGCGCTCGAGCTGCTTCGTTGAAAAACAATGAAAATACAGTTGATTGCATTCAAAATTAACGACCCGGTTTATTGTAGGTACCCGGGTCAAATTCCTCGGGGATCCACCCATGCTCACAAGCGTCTAACCCTTCAAGCTTCAAGGGCACAGATTTCTACAAAACAAGATGCAATATAAGGCCTCTGGAGGGAGTCGAACCCTCGGCTCCCTCCATATACCCTGTTTAGCGAAGAGGTTCAATGAAAAGGAGGCGACTTCCGTAGTCCACAGAGGCGTTCACGGCTCTGTTAATTCAGCGGAGTTGGATCATACTTAGGTGAGTGACGGGGACATGTTGTTTTTCCAGGAGGTTAAATTCAAAAATAATGACCTGGTTAGCCGCTACTCAAAATGCCTCAGAAATGTATTCTACGTGAGGGCAGCTGGATCTTCAAGAATGTGGGCGGCCCATCCAACTGAAAAAAAATCTACATGTTGACCCCCAGGCCTCTGGAGGGAGTCGAACCCTCGGCTCCTCGATTTACTCCTTTCAATACATTTGTCATGGAAACGAGGGGACTCCCGCAGTCCACAGAGGCGTTCACTGGTACGTTGCTTCAGCGGAGTTGGGTTATACCTAAGTGAGTAAAGAGAAATGTTGACTTTCCTCGCCGAGCCGCTTGCGAGTGCCAGTTGAAAACAAAACACAGCGAAGACCGGTTTGAGATTGAAGCCTCATGATCACAAGGTTACAGTTACACCCTATTCTTGGATTCATCCTCAGCGACCTCACAAGCATCTGAACTCAGAATTGCGACGGTCGATCCAAAAGGTAAAAGGGCAAGTACAGGACATGGCTCCGGAGGAAATCGAACCCAGATTGCGTCGTCTTTACTGCAAGATCCAGAACCTCTCGCCGACGAGGCGACTTCCGTAGTCAACGAAGGCACGGCTCTGTTTCTGTATTAAATTCATGTCATGGGTTGAATTGACATGCCAGGTTGAATCTTTTGACGGAGCTGCCTCAAGTTGAAACAGTGAAAACACGAACATGATTGTCTGCGTCCCAGCTGATCACAGTCATGATGTTGGTGTGCACCCCAAGCTGCAGGGATTTGGACGGCCCAAGACAATCCACTAAAAAATGGAACACTCGAGCATTGGCCTGTGGAGGGAGTCGACTCCGAATCGTCTCCTCCATATAATCATACAGATCCATTTCATGGAAAGGACGGTCGACAGAGGCATTCATTTGCCACTTCGAACCGTTGTGTTGAATTCGGGATAAGGTACATGCCGAGTTGAATTGCTTGACCGAGTCAAAACACAACACAGCTTGATATTAAACCATGAATGCCCGGGTGCTCGTCATTATTCATCTGACTCGGGTGTATCCGCTACCTGAAGGGCCTGCGGGATACGCAAAAGGAGTTGTCATAGACCGGCCGAAGGCCTCCGGAGGGAGTCGAACCCTCCGCTCCTCGATATGGTTCTCATATCAACACCTCACAGAAACGAGGCGACTTCGACAGTCGACAGAGGCGTCCTTGTCCCTGCTCTGGGTAGAATGCCAAGTAAGGGAGGTGAGTCGACACGCGAGGTTGAATTCCTAGAGGAGCAGCCGTATAGCACAGCCAAAGATACATATCCCGTCATTATCACTCACTAGTCGACGGTAAAGCTGGAGTTGCTGGCGGAGCCGCGGCTTGGTTGATGGACATTACCTCGATCGAGCATGATTGCAGCGTTACTTGCTCGTAATTCCTTAGAAGTTAGAAACGAACGTGTCCGTCCTCTGAATCGAGGGCATCTAGATCTATAGACCTTCCGGAATTAAAATTGCCACAGCCTGCCAATTCGAGAAGAAAAGAAAAAAACTACCGTCGAAGTCATAATGCCCTCCAGAGGGAGTCGAACCCTCGTCTCCTCCATATAATCATACAGATCCTGTTCATGGAAAGGAGGGGACTTCCGCAGTCGACAGAGGTATTCATTTGCCACTTCGAACCGTTGTGTTGCATTCGAGATAAGGTACATACCGAGTTGAATTGCTTGACCGAGTCAAAACACAACACAGCTTGATATTAAACCATGAATGCCCGGGTGCTCGTCATTATTCACACAGCCTGCCAATTCGACGAGAAAAAAACTGCCGTCGTTTTCATACATGCCCTCCAGAGGGAGTCGAACCCTCGTCTCCTCGAAATACTCCTGTCTGTCGGCGCCTCACAGAAACTCAGAGGTAGTCCACAGAGGCGTTCAGTGCTGTGTTCACGCAGGTAAGCTGGCATCCTATGTTGAATTCCTAGCGGAGTCGCTTGCTCGAATTCGACGCCTAGGATTAAAGATGTCATGGCCCAGACGAATGAAGAAAAACAAAACCCAGCCATCTGTACCTCCACACCTCCGGAACGAGTCGAACCCTCGGCTCCTCCCGATAATCGTACAGATACTCGTAATAGGAATGAGAGGAGTTCCGTCGTCGACAGAGACGTTCAATATACTGTTCTTTCTGTGGAGTTGAAATTATTGAAGGAGCCGCCTCGTTGAAATTGAGTGAGCCAAGAAAACCAGGGGTTTGTGCGAGCTGGACATTCACGTGCGAGGGAGGAGGCACGCAGGCAGCGGGGGAGGAAGAGAGGACGGAGGGGTGAAAAAAGGACGAGTGTCACTGTGCGGAGGAGATACGGGTGCATGGTGGGGCGGATGATAAGCAGGAGGAAAAGGCGCGTTTTGTGGTGGACACCAAACACACGCGCAAAATCGACAGAAGCGCGTGCACGGCGGGAGGGGAGAGACACCGTTTAGAATTGTCTGGCGCCGGGCAAGCGACGCGCGGCGTGGTTGTCGCGATTCTTGCGACGAGCTGCCGTGACTCGTATTTGTGCACGGGAGTCATGGAGCAAGCGGGGTCGCGTGCAAGCAGGGCGAGAGGCTTCGAAAAGGGGAGCGTTTTGCTGGCCAAGATGTTCGCCTCCGAGACGGACGAGGCTGAGGCAAGATCGCGGCAAGATGGTAAACTTGAAGAGGGAACGACTTTGCACTTGTTAGTCAAACTTGAAGTCAGCCGTTACCCTCAAGTTACCCTAACCCTTCCTTCCCGCTCCCTTCCATCGTCCAAAATGCATCCACCAACTTTCGCATCCTAGTCGCGTCGCAAACGACCGTCCCCGTGTCACCGCTGGAGTCAGCAATTGAGACTTCTTCTCCGCAGACCGATATGACAAGTGCCGTCCAATGCCTCCCTGCCATCATGCACCCAATCGTCTCTTCCGCTCGCATTCAAAGCCTCGCACAACCCAACCCCTCCACATCCACTTGCCGAGTCTACACCCTGCTGCTCTTCTCTCCCTCGCTCTGCTCCTCGTCAGATCTTGCTTGACTTGCCAGCGTCGCGGCTGTCCTGTCTCCGCCTCCCACACTGCCCTCTCTTTCCTCCGTCCATCCACCTCCCCCTTTGCTTCGCCCCGCCTCCAGCCGCGTCCTTGCTTGCCCTCCAGCCTTTTCCCTTCGTCTTCCCATTCCCCACTCCCGGTTCTTTCTCCACCCCTCTTCCCTTGCCCTCTCTCTGTATCTGGCGCAAGCTCAACGACAACCCGCAAAATGCGCTCGTCATCGAGACGTACCCGCCGAATTTGAAGCCTTCCCCGTGTGCGTGCTACTTCAAGATCCCAACTCAATTTCTGCGGCTACGGCGCAAGGGATGCCTGGAGTATAGATCTGGGCGAACGGCAGGGTGTGTCTCACGCGTCCATGTCGCGCGCATCGCTACACTTACCGACCCATTCCGCATGTGCAGCCCCCCGCCCCCACTCCGACTAGCTCCTGCGACCGCCTGTGGACGCGTCCAGCAATATGCCCCGATCTCGATGTCGTGTTTACACCTCACGCACACCCGAAACACCACTGTATCGAGATGCCATGTCGCGCACACGCGCCTTTTCGAGCGCAATTCTGAATG